CTCTTAACTATAAAGTTGTTTTTTTAATGAAGGTCCACACTGTGTCTAAGTGTGAGGAGGACAAGTCATAGAAGAACACCAAAGCCAAAAGAAGAAGAAGAGATTGGATTTATACCCCGCCCATCACTACCCAAAGGTGTCTCAGAGCGGCTTACAAACTCCTTTCCCTTCCCCTCCCCGCAACAGACACCCTGTGAGGTAAAAGAAGAAGAAGAGGAGGAGATTGGATTTATATCCTGCCCTTCACTATCCAAAGGAGTCTCAGAGTGGCTTACAAACTCCTTTCCCTTCCCCTCCCCACAACAGACACCCTGTGAGCAGTGTTCCCTCTAAGTTGAGTTAGTGTGAGTTAGCTCACAGTTTTTTGGCCTCCGGCTCACAGATTTTTGTCTTAGCTCAGCAAGGAGGGCTTCGGAGCAGACTAATTTATGCAGCAGCTGAATCACTTGCTCACAACTCTAATGCTGACAGCTCACAAAGTAGAATTTTTGCTCACAAGACTCCACAGCTTAGACGGAGCCTTGCCTGTGAGGGAAAAGAAGAAGAAGAGATTGGATTTATACCCTGCCCTTCACTACCCAAAGGAGTCTCAGAGCGGCTTACAAACTCCTTTCCTTTTCCTTCCCCTCCCCACAACAGATACCCTGTGAGGTAAAAGAAGAAGAAGAGATTGGATTTATACCCCGCCCATCACTACCCGAAGGAGTCTCAGAGCAGCTGACAAACTCCTTTCCCTTCCCCTCCCCACAACAGACACCCTGTGAGCAGTGTTCCCTCTAAGCTGAGTTAGTGTGAGTTAGCTCACAGTTTTTTGGCCTCCGGCTCACAGATTTTTGTCTTAGCTCAGCAAGGAGGGCTTCGGAGCAGACTAATTTATGCAGCAGCTGAATCACTTGCTCACAACTCTAATGCTGACAGCTCAAAAAGTAGAATTTTTGCTCACATGACTCCACGGCTTAGAGGGAGCTTGCCTGTGAGGTAAAAGAAGAAGAAGAAGAGATTGGATTTATACCCCACCCTTCACTACCCAAAGGAGTCTCAGAGCGGCTCACAAACTCCTTTCCCTTCCCCTCCCCACAACAGACACCCTGTGAGGTAAAAGGAAAAGAAGAAGAGATTGGATTTATACCCCGCCCTTCACTAGCCGAAGGAGTCTCAGAGTGGCTTACAAACTCCTTTCCTTTCCCTTCCCCTCCCCACAACAGATACCCAGTGAGGTAAAAGAAGATGAAGAAGAGGAGATTGGATTTATACACTGCCCTTCACTACCCAAAGGAGTCTCAGAGTGGCTTACAGTCTCCTTTCCCTTCCCCTCCCCACAACAGACACCGTGTGAGGCAGGTGGTGCTGAAAGAACTCTTTCGAGGACTGCCCTTGAGAGGACAGCTCTGAAAGAACTTGTGACTGACCCAAGGTCACACCAGCAGCTGCATGTGGAGGAGTGGGGAATCAAACCCGCTTCTCCCAGATTAGAGTCCACACTCCTAACCACTACACCAAACTACACCACACTCCTAACCACTCCACAAAATGCAGCCTGTGGACACACGTCGATTGCAAGCATGCTTTTGATACACGCTGTATGTCCCACAAGGACCAGCTGCCTGCATGGCCTCTCCGCCCCCCCCCCCCCCGGAAGAAGCTGACCAAGAGCTGCAGCCAGAGTGAGTGAGGGTAGCTCCCCCCACCCCCGGAAAGGGCCCACTCCCTTTCTGCCTCCTGTTGCCGCTACTGGAGTAGAGCTCGGCCTGCCTCCAGGGAAGAGATGTGCTCAAACAGTGTTCAGGGCAATTCAGGTACATAGGATAAGGAGCCTTGGAAAAAGGAATTCAACTGCCTAGAGAGGCAGGCACAGGCCCGTAGCCAGGATTTTGTGGCTTGTGGGTCAAATTTTTTTTTCTGGAGGGGCTGAAGTTAGCCAATAGGAAGCTGTTACCAGGATAAATCTCTACATTGCAAGCTGTCAACCACGTTAGATGACAGTTCACAGCTGCTGCAAGTTAATTCTGCCAGCTTAAGCCACAATTCTGAGAACAAGTTGGCAGATGGGGGTGATGGCTTCTATAGTCAAGAAAGCCAACACTTAGGCAGAAAAACTCTCTTAAAGGAGACCAGCTCCTTGACACAGGGTTAGAAGGGATCCTAGAGGTCACCTACTCCAACCCCCCTTGCTCAGTGTGGGAATTAGTCAACTACAGCACCCCACTCTGCTGAAAGGAGCGCATGCCTTTAAAAAATGTTTTTAAATGATTGCAAAAAGCATTTACAGGAGAAATTCTTGTGGGGCTGCACCTTTAAGAAAGGGGGCATAGCCCCCATAAGCCCCACTGTAGTTACGTGCCTGTAGGGGCACCAGTCCCAGGCACCCACTTCCTCTTTCCCCCAATGAGTGAACAGTGACATCCAATGAAACAGCAAAAACATCTTCAGAGAAGGATTTAAATAAAATGAAAAATCAGCCAGTATGATTTTCTTTCACCGCTATCATGGATTTAGCCATACAAAAACATACCTACAGCAGGCATTCTAAAAGCTAGCTAGCCTAGCTTCATATCTATACTTAGCACCAGGACATATTAGGATAACATAGAAAGAGATGTTGCAAACAGAGACATCCTGATTTGGGATTTTCTCCAAGTTGGGGCTGTTTTTAAATGGGCCAACGTTTCTATCCATCCCTTTTTCTTCCAGTCATTTGTTACCAAAATCAGCTGCTGCAAGTTAATCACTTCTGCCAGAAAACATAATTAATTCTCATAACATGGTTAAACTCATATAGTAAGGAACAGAGCTATCACTACACAGTCAGGAAATCCTTGGTATCTCTCTTTCTCTAAGGTATTATATACATAGGTTGCATACATATATACACAGGTTATATACATAGGTGAGTGACCTAGGTTAGTATGACAGTCGAACCTGAGCTCCCGTACTTACGCATGC